TACTGAGTCCTGTACTGAGTCCTGTACTGAATCATTTACTGAGTCCTGTACTGAGTCCTGTACTGAGTCCTGTACTGAATCATTTACTGAGTCCTTTACTGATTCCTGTATTGAGTCCTGTACTGATTCCTGTACTGAGTCCTTTACTGAGTCCTGTACTGAGTCCATTATACTGATATGAGTCTTAATCTATTAAAAATATAAACTGTTTTTTTCTGTCAGCTGCACCAATCAGACCTCAGGTGGAACCAGCTCCTCATCACGGTCCAGCGCTGCTCGGACCTTCAGTCCAGAACCCTGCAGCAGCCGAGTCCTTACGTCTTCTACAAGTTCTTCACCTTCCCTGACTACCCCACCTCCACCGTTAACGACTGCCACAACCCCGAGTTCAACGACCTCAAGTCCTACTCCGTCCTGATGGACCCGGATCTGGACCGGTACCTGAGGTCCGAGGTGCTTCAGTTCTACGTGTTTGACTTCAACGAGGAGCAGAGGGACACGTACCTGGGGAAGGCCCGAGTGCCACTGCTGTCCCTGAGCCAAGACCAGGTGGTCTCTGGTAGGTTTACCTTTTCTCTGCACAGAGCTGTAAACAGGAAGTTCAGTCTTCACCTGAAGTGAACCCTGTCTGGTGTGTCCAGGTGTGTTTGAGCTGACCAGTCCTTCAGGACGTCCCGCTGGCTGCATTGAAGTAACCCTGAGGTGGAAGCTGACCTACGTCCCTCCTCCAGGAGACACCACGGCTGCTGCAGAGTCCAGGTTCATTCCAGAGGAGAAGGTGGAGGAGGAGCCGAGCACGAGGACAGACGTGTCCCTGCAGGACAAGGAGGAGGACAGGGCGCTCGCTGACTCCAGCAGTCACGTTAAAGCTGCTGCCGCCAAGGTCAGGAATTTATATTAAACTGTGAGTTCTTCCTCTTCATCATCATGACCAGCAAGAGCTGCACTTTAGCAGCTCCACTGCTACGGTTTGTAAAAGAAACAGCTGCTCTCCTGCTCCTAACGTTCAGTCCTGATGTCCACCAGGAGGAACCGTCCAGACCCAGAGGACAGAAGACTCTGGAGAGGGACGGACCAGCTGCCAAACGGGTCACATTTATGGACGACCAGGTGAGTCCTGAACATTCCAGTGCCACAAAGACGTGTGACGACAGGTAAACAAAAACCTGATCACCTGCTCAGGTGTGGCTCAGCAGCAGATTATCAGGTGGACTTCAGTTTTTAATTATTCAGGGTTACATTTTTTCAAAAGTTGACTCTTTAGAATCAGTTTTTCTGGTTTTGTTTGTTTTTAACAGTCTGTGGAGCTGAGCTCAGCAGGAAGCTCTCCAGATAAATCCACCTCAGCTTTCCCTCCTGCTGCCAAGGTAAGCTACCTGAAGATAAACCTCACCTGAACTCTTCTTTAACAGGAACAATCACAGGTGAGGGAACATGTTTGGATTCACAGGTGGAGTCCAAGCCTGCTCAGAGAACCACAGAAGAAGAGGATGATGAAGAAGAGTCTTGTGTCTCTGAGGGACAGCTGGTTCCGAGCGCTCAGTCCTACTCTGACGACTCCGACATCTCTGAGGAGATCACTGAAGGTCAGTATGAGAGCTCCTCCCTCATTCCTGGAGTGTGTTTTTAGCTCCTCCCTCATTCCTGGAGTGTGTTTTTAGCTCCTCCCTCATTCCTGGTGTGTGTATCCTTAGCTCCTCCCTCCTTTCTAGTGTGTGATTTTAGCTCCTCCCTCCTTCCTGTTGTTTGTTTCCAGATGTGGAGATGGGTCCAGATGTGGAGGCTGGTCCAGCAGCTCCAGACCATCAGAAAGAGTCGACTCAGTCTGACAGCGATGACTGCATCATTCAGGGACCATCTGCTGGGAGGAAGGTCAGTGAATGCCTCGCTGTGTTTACAGTCAGGCTTCCTGCAGATCCTTAAAAAGTCTTAAAAGGCCTTGAATTCAACAATCTAAAAAAGGCCTTAATTAGCCTTAAAAAGTCTTAAATGTGTTTCAGAGGTCTTAAAAACGTTAAAACAATGGGCCTCATGCAAGAACATGTTCGTATTCTTCTCCTAAATTTCTCTTACTTTTGTTCGTACAAAGGGTTCGTA